CCGACAGCATGGCCGCAATGCGATCCTGCGCTCAGGTATAAGAAGCAGACGTGGTTTCTGTGGTTTCTGTTGTGGCTAAGGAACTGGCAGACAGACAGTCTGTCATGGTCAGGTCAGGTAGGGAGACAGACAGACATCCTCGCTGTTCATTTAACAATCGCACTCGGCTTGTAAAATCATAATCCTGCCGTTGTGTCGAGTGCACACACACACACACACACACACACACACGGAGACTTTCCATAAGCGGATTGGCCAAAACAAAGTTCGAGTTTTGTGTTTGATGTCCTGCGGCGCATATTAACATTATCAGCTGTGCCAAAGCGAAAGACAATCGGCCAAAACAAGGACAATATTATCGGAGCGCTCTAATTGTTCCGAGTTCGACGCATACAAATAATGTGTGAAATTTTACGCCTGACGGAAGGCGCCTGCTGCGCACCACAAAGAGAGAGAGAGAGAGAGAGGGGGAGAGAGAGAGGGGAGGGGGGGAGAGTCGCCTCATTGGCCTAATCAGCAAATGCGTTTAAGTGATTTAAGGATAGACGCGCTTAATGCCCGCCAAGCAGCTATCCAAATCCAAATCCAAATCGAATTCCTTGCCCCGCACTGAGACAAATTTGGTTAGCCAATGGCTCGAGAATTGCTCGAGTCCTTATCGAGTCCTTATCGAGTGTGCACAAGCTCCTGCTCAGCCCACCTGGCATTATTTGACGATTGCATTGCACTTCTGTCTCTCACACTTTCCCGCTGTACTTATACCCTAAACCTATTGGGAATGTGTTAAGAGGTATATGGCTTTTAACAGGCAGAAGGAAGCATCTCCTTTCGTGAATCAGCCGGATCGGAACATAACGTTGTCATTAATTGGTTTAATACCCTTGGTCCTTTGCGAAAAGTAGAAGGAAGCTTCTCCGATCTATATAGCACATATATATATATATATATAATCTTGATCAGAGCGAAGAGCTGGATCGAGCTGGATCTATCAAGCCATATTCGTCTGCCTGTCGTGTCTAGATTAACGCATTGTCTCGGAAACTATAAAAGCTAGAGACTGATATTTGTATGATATATGCCTCTATACTTCTAAACGAAACGATATTTCCTATTTTGATTTTGAGACATGGTTTATAAAGTATATATATAGAGTATTATAGGAGCGAGAGACATCAAATATGGTATATAAACTATACTCTAGCTTACACAGATCCAGAATAGTTCACTTTTTAGATACCTCCACCCAGTTAAGCTTATAATTATAATTAATTATAAAACTTGGGCTTTGGATGTCATATTAAAGTAAAGCTCTCAAAATTTCATAAAGATCGGACTATAGGCACCGATAGTGAGGGGTCGCTTCGTGTGTTTTTATATAAAAAGGAAGTTAGAAATTGGTTCTCAGGGCTTGCACCATATCTTCCAGTCGGGCACTCCCTACAAAGGGCACTCCGCCTTGTGTTTTTGCTCTCTTTTACAGGTTTCTGGGCAACCGCTTTCAATTGAATTCGCGTCAGTTTAACGAAGTTTTTCGAGCGGAAACGGAAATTTCTTTCGCATGTTTGTGAGGCGTCAATTTGTTTGAATTGAACTGAGCTGCAGTTAAGTGACTTGTCAGTATATTAACTGGCTGTCAAATCTGCCTGCAGAACGGCATTTGGCATTGAATATTATTCTCATTCGTATCATTATTTTATTTGCTCATCTTTGATGGCGTACTTCTGCCACGGGCCGCGGCTCCCAGGCAGGTGTATAATTTGAAGACAAAGTAATAGACTTTAACAAATCCCGGCCTCCTGCGTCGCATCAATTTCACAAAGTTGCCATCAAAATGGGCGCCCAGGGATTTGGCAACGCCTTCGACATATCGCAGTGTCTGCTCGGGGTTTTTCCATTTCAGATACTTCTCATCGATCAGATCCGGTCGATAGAAGTGTATGAAGGCGCAGAAGGCGTGGCCCGTGCTCCACGATGTGGAGAACTCGTACATGGGTATGCCATAGGGTCGCATTATCTTCTGGCACAAGATGAGCAGCTCGCGGTGCCGATCGCCAAAGGTTTTGCCATCAATCGAACATATATTGGCAGCTCGCTTCAGCTGCGAGGCTTTGTCCAATTCGGCCTGCTTCTGCTGCATTTCCTTGGGCTCCATCGAAGTTGTGGACACATTCTCACTCTTCAGACTGAAATCCAGTAGGGTATCCGAATCGGAAGATTCCTCCAGTCGGATTTTGTCTTTGACTTCGGTTTGCCTCGAAAAACATTGGGAATCTCTTATGGCCAACTCCCTGAGTGCTCCATCCAAGCTCTCGGCGAGTTTTTTGTTCATCTCTAGCTCTTTTCTTAGCTTCTTCTCAGCCAGTTCCTTGGCCAAGTGTGCACGCCGTCTCGAGGTTTGCGCCTTAAGCAGCAGCAAGCTCTGCCAAACCAGCTCCAAATCGCGTATTGCCTCTTCATTCGATAGACTCAATATCGATAGATATTCCTCATCTGCTTCCGCTTCACATTTATGCGAATCTCCCATCTTGAAATCGTTTTGCAGTCGTTAAAAGATTCAGCTTCTTTAAGTAAATGGTAAATTATAATATTCGAACACACTCAAAAGACACTTCAGATTGGGAGAAGAAGAGGGAAAATGTATGTATAAGTTTGGGTTTTAAAAGCAAGGCTAGCTGGGCTTCATTTAATACTTTAACTAAATTTTTCTACTAACTAGACGAAAGAACTTCAAGTACTCGACCATTTTTCTTTGTGGATAATAAAAAATCAAAAAACAAATATAACAATTAAACATTACTGCTGCATTTGAACCGGCGACTTCTCGCTTGTTAGTTTAATGCTCAGACACGTAATCGAACTTACCTACGATTCTTTGCATTTAAACCAGCGACTTTTCGTTTGTCTGTCCGATGCTCAAACACCCTCTGCATTTGAACCAGCGACTTCTCGCTTGTTAGTTTGATGCTCAAACTTGCCTACGATTCTCTGCATTTGAACCGGCGACTTCTCGCTTGTTAGTCCGATTCTCAAACACCTAACAGAAGATGCCTTGGGATTATTTGCAATTGAACCGGCGACTTCTCGCTTGTTAGTTTGATGCTCAGACATATAATCGAACATGCCTACGATTCTCTGCATTTGCACCGGCGACTTCTCGCTTATTAGTCCAATGCTCAAACACATAACAGAACATGCCTTGGGATCATTTGCATTTGAACCGGCGACTTCTCGCTTGTCAGTCCAATGCTCAAATACCCTCTGCATTTGAACCAGCGACTTCTCACTTGTTAGTCCGATTCTCAAACATCTAACCGAATTTGGGATGCTCTGCGAGCGCAGATCTATAAACGAATTGCAACTCAATTAACCCTAAACCCTAAACGACGAAAATGTTTGATGAAAAATGTAAACAACTGCCGCGAGCAATGCTCGCATTATGCGAACTTATTATTATTATTGTTATTGGGCACCCTCGAGCTGTTGGTTTTCATATAACAATGTTAGTGTTTCGTTTATGCCACATGCTTGCCCGGCAATTTGCGTGCACGTTGCAAGCAACAAAACGCCCGAGGCAGCAACAACAGCAAAAAGAAGTCAACGTGGCAAAAACATTTGCAACATTTGGTTGACGTCAACGCCCAACTGGCCCAGGCCCAGGACCAGACCCAGGCCCAGGCCAAAAGTCGAATCAGTTCATCAAATCAGGGCAACAATTTGATAAAAATGTCATAATTGAATCGAAACTCTAGATGGAGGGGAGAGAAGACCTCAGAGGAAAGGAGAGGGAGTGAAACCTCCACCGTTTAAATGCAGCACGCACTTTGTGGGCGGCTGAGATGGAATGTGGGCGTGTTCAGCTACTTTGATTGCCTTTCATAGTTTTATGCTAATCGGAGATCTGCTCGGGTCGCGGTTCGCGGCCAAAAAGGTGTCGAGTTACGGCCAAATTTTCGCCGGACCCGAAGCGGCAAAACTATGTTGTTTTTGGCATTTTGGCAAAACTAATTAAAATACAATAAAAGTTGAAGAAGCTCGAAAAATAATTTCCGCTTTTAATGCTCATTTCGCGTTTTGTATACAAAACTAATTAATATCCTTGCGAGCAACAAAATGCAGCCGCAGCAGCAGAGGCAGAGGCAGCGGCAGCGGCAGAGGCAGAGGCAGCTGCGAACAGGATATTTGTGCAAGTAATTTCCGTAGCTGAAGAGTTGTTCTCCCACAGCAGCAGCGCGTAATTAATTTATGCTAAATATACAACAACAACAACAACAACAGCGAGAGCGAAAAGAACAACAACAACAATTGCCAAAAATTGCGAAATGCAAATAAATTGCAAATTGCGCAAATTTGTTTTTCAAAATAATTAACTTTTCAGCGCTTTTAATTAAACATTTTTACGGTTAAAAATTTACGCGGGCAGTTCAAACATTTCTGGTATTTTAAGTATATTAATACCAGAGAAAATATTTAAAATATTTTCCGCGTATTTTCCACCCAGTTGGGGTGGATTTCACTTCTCAAATGAAATTTCCAAAAGTTTCTTGAAAACAATCCCGAAATTCGTGATATCGCATTTCCAACAAGGTTAGGTGGATTTTCCGGAGGCCGAAAATGTTCCACCCCCATTTCCACCAAGGTGGGTGGATTTTCCGAATAGTATGGAAAACCTTTTCAATTTGAATCTATGAAAATGGGCTTGAGGTCGATCGAAAGGTAAACAAAAACTTTCATACAATCGTCTTCCGCCTTTCTTCCACATGTGCGAGTGAAAACGAACAGTTTTATATCGATGAATATCGATATATTTATAATCGATATGTCCTTCAAATCTGATTTCTGTCTATTTCCGCAGCTCCAATGGAAACTTATTCTCTTCCCTGCTTTCCTCGCTTGCCAAGTCTGAGTCTTATTGAAGCAACTGTCTCTCAAATAGAAATTCATTCAGTTGATTTTTTTATTTTGATATTTCAAAAGTTGAGCAAAGTTGTCTTTGTAGGAATAGCATTGAGGATGGGCTGCTGTTGGAGCTGCGCCTGTGTCAGTTCGTATTGGTGCTGGCTGCGGGAGCTGCTCGTCCAGCTGGTGGACACCAATTGGTTCATTCTGATTTGGGCCGTGAGCGGCGCCTTGGTGGTGCTCTATAATCTGCACTCGGGCATCTGCCTGATGGAGCACATTTCGGGCTGCGGCCAGGCAAGCGAAGAGACCGCGGCTGCTCCCGACTCGAGGTCTAGCTTGGATTATGGCATCAGGCATGGACCGCACACCTGGCGCACAGCCGACAACAATCAGAGTCCCATTAACATTGTTAGCCGCTGCGCGGAGGAGGTCTGCTTTAACCAGGCGCTCCGATGGATCGGCTACGAGAATCTGCCCGTGGGCATTCGCCTGGAGAACAACGGGCACACGCTGCTGCTGCGCGCCGCCTTCCAGGACGAGGAGACGCCACATTTGGGCGGCGGTGATTTGCTGAGCTGCTTCAGCTTCCATGAGATCAGCTTCCGCTGGAGCTGGTACAACAGCACCGGGTCGGAGCACACGCTGGACAACGAGCACTTTCCGCTCGAGATGCAGTGCCTGCACACGGACGCCGTCAACACGGCGAACGCGTCTAGCCGGAGTCTGCTGATGGTCTCCTACATGTTCACCGTGTCCGTGGAGAATCCGTTTATGGACGTGATCGTACAGCATCTGGTCGCCGTCCAGCTGGCCGGACAGTGCGTCGAGATACCGCCCTTTCCGCTCAACTATCTGATGTCGCCGTTCTACACGGACTTCTACAGCTACCACGGCTCCCTCACCGAGCCGCCCTGCCACCGCGGCGCCGAGTGGTTCATCTGCCCGCAGCCGATCGCCATCAGCGAGCGGCAGCTCCACGAGTTCCGCAAGCTGCGCAGCCGCAGCGGCGCTCGCATCGGACGCAATGCTCGACCCGTTCAGTCGCTCGGCGATCGAACTGTCAAAATCAATTGCTATCGCGCCTTCGATTAGGGCGTGGCATAATCTATAAATGCCAAATGTCAATTCATATTTTTATTATATTTTTATAAAAAGAATTGGATAATGCTTATTGATCTAATAGAACAGTCCATATTTAATTCGCAACAGATTTACTAGATCGATTAGCCGGACATTCCCATTTTTAATTTACCATGATTCGAACTTAAAGCCACTTTAGTTATTTAACAAAGAGTTGAACCTAGCTGTGAGGGCCATGCCAGAATACATTTTTGTTGTTTTTTTTTTTCATTTTATTTATTTGAAAATTAATTAAAATAAGTAAGAGGTTCTAGTCGGCTCCCGACTAGGGGATACCCTGAACCTTCTTCTTCCAACCGGCGATAGGTATAAAATGAAAGATACTTGATCTATATTTACTATTCTAGAAGCTACCTGGCACGTTTAGTGACTCCAGCTCTTATTATTTACCCAATTTGCTCAAAAATCTGGATTTCGATACCGATTTTTATCGATTACTTGGAAACGGGGCAAGTTATCGAATATCGGTAACAAACTCGACCTGCGGATGGACTAGGAGGACCTACAGCTAAAGCTTTAAGTCTCTAGCTCTTATAGGTTCTGAGATCCTTGCGTTCATACATACGAACAGACAGACGGACGGACAGACAGACGGACGGACAGACAGACGGACAGACAGACGGACATGGCTAGATCGGCTCGGCTGTTGATGCTGATCAAGAATATATATGCATTATGGGGTCGGAGATGCTTCCTTCTGCCTGTTACATACATTTGCACAAATACATAATACCCTTTTAACCCATTTTTAATGGGTTCAGCGTATAATTAACAGAAATTGAATGTTTCCAGTGAAATCTACTATTATATTTTACTTATTTAGTTTGTTACGCTGAAGTTGTACTTATTTTATTTATCTATCCCGCAGATGGAGAATTTGCACTCTTTTAAGTCGTCTTACTGCTAGACTATTATCTGTTAGACTTAAGGTTAGGTTATTTTGATGGTTGTGAAATCTATCAATGTATTTTGTACTTTTTTTATTTATTTCTTCTTTTACATAAGGATTAGAGTTGTAGAAAGCAGCATTAATATGGATTTGATTTGCAAAACATATTTTGTTACGTGGTTTTTAATACAAATCAACATTCCGAACTCTAAAGACGAGTCACAAGTTGAAATCGAGAAGTGAAGCAGCAAAAACTTCTCTAAAAAAGTCCTCTAAACATAATTACTGCTTAATTATTGTTACAAATAATTGCAATTAACGTCATGTAAATAGATTTGTTTACGTATTTGATAATTGGGCTTTGCTGCTAACCCAACCCAAACCCTCAGCAGCTAATTGGGCTGGCCGGAGCAAATCTTCCGCACAATTTCATTGGATTTAAGGATTCACAGTTTGCGCTGCGTTCTAATCCACTAATTAGACGTTCAAAGAGCATTAAGGCAGCCGATGTGGACCGTGGCCATTTGGTCCTTCTCTTGGGGGGCAGCGGGGCGCCGCAGGATATGGCTATGCGTTCAGTCATCCATGTGTTAGAATTTGTCGCTGTGCTTGTGTGCGTCTGCGTCTATAATTTCGTTAGTGCAAGCGGAAACTGTTGCGGACATGTTGCCCAGCCCGGAATGGCATTGGGATTGGGATTGGGTTTGGGTTTGGGATTGGGATTGGCAATGTGTGTCCGGTAACTCGGTTCTGGATTCTCGGATTGGGCCTCCTGCGGTGATGCACCCTCGTTTCCAGCGCACACACTCCCGCTCCCTCTCTCTCTCTCTCCCTCACACATTTGGCAAGGCACACACACACACACATACAGACACACACACACACGACTGTGTTGACTGTGTGCCCTGTTGTAGCTTCTAATTATCAGTTGGCCCTGCAGTAGTTACAGATGCGAGTGCACTTACAGAAAAACAAAGTTACATATTCTAATTAGAGCGGAACACAATTCAGATTTGTTTGTTCTTAAAAGTTTGAGGTACATTTTGATTATAATTATTCGAAGCGTTAAGTTAACCCCATAGAAAATACGGTCTAAAAAAAGGAAATTAAGTGATTGCAAAAATTAACTTGAATTAAGTACTAAATACTTATAACATGCTTAAAGAAAGCGCTCAGCTTTCTGAATCCTAAGCATGGTAGGGTAGGCAAGAGAAAGAGACAGAGAGAGAGAGAGAGAGAGAGAGAGAGAGAGAGAGAGAGAGAGAGAGAGAGAGAGAGAGATAGAGTGAGAGAAAGAAAGGGAGTGAAAGTCAGAAAGAGGCAGGAATAGGGAGATATTAAGTAATACGTTCACAATTTCTCAGATGAAGTACCAAAGTAGAGAGATGGCATAAGAGAGAAAGATAGAGAGAAAATTCGATAGAGAAAGTGTTCAGCATACAATTTCTCAGTTTGAGTTCCTAGTAGAGTGCAGAAGTAGAGAGAGGGAGAATGGAAAGAGAGGGAGAGAGGGCAAGGGAAATAAATAGAGAAAAAGATTAAAAGAGTGAGAAGAATATTGAAAAAATATTCATGATATAATTTCTCAGCTTGAGAATCACGTAAAGTAAAGAAAGAGAGAGAGTGTGAATGGGAAGTGATAATAATCGGTAAAATTGGTCAATTTTGTTTGATTTTTTTCGTACCATATCTTAGTCTTTTCTCTAAGTGTACGTTTTTGCATATATGTACGTACGATTCGTTCCACATAGAAGCCGTAATTACGCTTTATGGGGGCGGGGTCAGGAGCGTAGGCGGGGGCGGGGGGCGGGGACGTTGCGTGCTATTTGCCTTGGACAAACCGAAATTGGAATGCGTGTTCGAATTGATGCATAGACCCAAACTCTCCATATAACATATAACTGTAATATATAATAGATATAGAGCATCGTGTGTTGCGTTATATAATCAGCTACGGGCGAGGCGAAGGCTGTTGCAAATTCGACTGCATTTGCTGCAAATCAACGCTAATGAAATTATTCAAACAACTTTCGGTTCTTGTTGTTGTTGTTGTTGTTGCCCCATTTGGCAATTGGTCCATTTGGCCGTTTGTCCATTTGGCCGTTTGCGGCATTCGGGCAACGCATTTTGGCTGTTTTGGCAACTTAATTGAATTGCAATTTCACAAATAAAGCTTAATTTTTGGTCACGCAATCGATTCAATTCTATTCGATTTGAAATTTTATTCTTTCGTCTAAATAATTATTGCCATTTGGCGCACTTTCGACTGGAAAGTCCACACAAAATTTTGCCAAATTGCAATTAAAAATGGATAATTGCATTTATTAATGCAAATAGTCGAATATATTATATATTCGGGCCGCATCAAAAGATATGCAAATTTTTGTCGCCAATGTGCAATTAATATGAAAATGTTTTTATTTTTTGTGAAAATTAATAATAATCGTAATTAATATTATTTGTATATTGTTGTGTGTGAATACAAAATAATGCGCACAATAAACAAATAGCGTGGTTTCTAATCAATAAACAAAGTTTTTAGAAAATTGCAAATAAATGGGAAAATTTTGTTGCCTAATTAAACGATTTTTGTGCAGCCAAATGCGAAGCATATTTAACAATAAACTATGTTTTAAATTTGTAGCAAGCTGTTCTTTAAATGCAACAAAAATGTTAAGCTTAAAGCGCTGTAAACTGTTTTAACATATGTTAAAAAAGTCTACATATATATGTAAGCTGCTTTTGGTAAATTCATGTCAATACCTCTTTTTGACTATTTTAGTTAAAGTCAACGACAATTCAATTGATTTGCTGCTCTGCGAGTTGTTACTCAAAATGCAATAAAAGCTTAAGAAGAAATGTTAAGATAACAGCACTCCAAACTGCCTTGCCTCAACATATGTTAACTAAGTCTGCGTACATGTAAATTACTTTTATAACACTTATTTCAAAAGTCAAAGTCAAAATCGCTTTTTGATTGTTTTTGTTGATTATTGTAGTTGCTCTGCGAATTGTTCTCAAAATGCATTATAAGCTAAAGAAGAAATTTTACGCTAAATACAACATAACCTTAAACAAAAATGTTAAGCTAACAGCTCTCTAAACTGTTCCTTATGTTAGCCTTACCTTTAACATATGTTAAATAAGTTTATATAAATTTGTGAAACTAATTCCAAAAGTTTAAATCTTTTTTTAAACATAAATGTTAAGCTAACAGCTCTCTAAACTGTTCCTTATGTTAGTCTTACCTTCAACATATGTTAAATAAGTCTGTATGTAAGCTGCTCATGTGAAACTAATTTCAAAAGTTAAAATCTCTTTTTGATTATTCTAGCCGAAGTCAACGTCAATTCAATGGAGCTGCTGCTCTGTGTGGATCCTGCCCCCGAATTCAGTCTCAATCTTGAGTGTCGCTGTTAGACAAACATATCAATCAACATTCTAATTGAATGTAATTAGAAAAACGCATGAGCTGCCAAATCTTGTGCCTTGTGCCAGCCCCAGTCAGTAGCTGGCAACAGAAGCAAGGTTCAGTCGAAGCGCCAGTGCCAGGAAGCGCCACGTAGTTCGCTCTCAGCAAAGAAAATGCCAAGAAAATGAAATTAGACGAATAGAATGACGATGTAAGTGCCATGAAAAGACGTTAAGATGCTCTAAACGGAGGCAGCAGCAGACCAAAGAAGCAATGCTCCTTGATGAAGACGATGATGAAGCCGATGATGATGATGATGATGAGGATGAGGATGGAGGATTGGAGCTCTAGTGGTTGCTAAAATTGAGGTAAATTGCATTTAAGTGTTGCCGCTTTCATTTAGCTGCATGAATATGTATAGAAGAGAGCTGCGAGCTGCGAGCTGGATGCGGCTTTTGTGGCACGAAAATTGAATGAATAATTGAGAAAACGAGCGCATGATGGCATTAGTGTGTGATTGTGATTGTGTGTGTGTGCGTGTGTTGAAAATGCGCAGCTAATGAATTTTAATTGGTTTTATTAAGGCAACGCTTGAAGAGCGCGTTCGAAGTGCTGGCAACAAAAATCGCAGCTTGCTCGGCATTTATTTGTTATTTGTTAATTGGTGATTGTTAATTGTTAATCATTAAATATTGTTGCAGCAAAATCAATATGGCGGCGGCTGGCGATTAATTAACGCCATTT